GGCCTGTGACTGTCCCCAGGTGAGGGGAAGGTCCTGCATAGGGGGCAGGGCCACCAGGGACAGCAGGCAGTTCTTCTGGAATCCACCAGACTCAGATCAGGCACTGGCTGAGGAACGCGTCTTGGCCCAGGAGCCTGGTGGATGGGTTAGAGGACTCGGGCCACCCCTCGTGCCCTGTGCTGGGCTCCTCCCAGACCTCCCCTCCCCACAGCTGGGCCTGGTGTCCCTCTTGGCAGACTGCAGTGTCTTGTCCCACCAGATGTCCTGTTTGGGGACCCCAGAGCCAGGCCTCCCCCCGAAGCCTTCTGGTGTTGGTATCCTGGGCAGGGATGTGGGGCTCACCTGACAGGCAGGCTTTCAGTGATAGTCCTCACGTGAAGCACCCCCCGATCCTTCCTGCTGTCAGCCAGCTATGCGCTTCATTCATTCAGCCTTTCACTCAGAAAACCTCAGCTGAGTCTCGTGCAGAACAAGTGCTGGGGATCAGCCTGAACCATATCTTCTCTTTTGCATTGGGGAGCTTGTACTCTCTGGTGCCAAAAAACGTGTACCTGCCACCCAGTCTGACTCAGTGGTCAGAGCCAGACTTGCCTGGGTCTGAGTCTAGGCGCCACCGCTTTCTTTCTTTTTTTTGTCCACGCAGGCATGTGGGGTCTTAGCGTGGCGTGTGGGATCTTAGTTGCCTGACCAGGGATCAATCCCGCGCCCTCTGCGTTGGAAGCGTGGAGTCTTAACCACTGGACTGCCAGGGAAGTCCCTAGGTGCCACCACTTTCGCTCTGTGGGACCCTAGGCACGTTACTAGCCTCTGTGACTCAGTTCCCTCATCTTTGAAATGGGGATAATAACCGTATCTGGCTCCTGGCTGCTGGGAGGGGTTAAATGAGTGGTGATGGGTAAAGCACTCAGAGCGGTACCCAGCACAGAGTAAGGGCTTCACAACTGTTTAACTAGAATTAAACAAAAACTTCACGATCATCCAACTCTGCTAGGTTCATCAGAAAACCAAAACTGCAAAGGATTATCATTTTTTCTTGGTAACTCCTCATTTTTTCAAAAACGGGGAAAAAAAATCAAATCCTGAAGCGATTTGGGAATGAAGCTTAAGCTTGGTCCTGCTTGGCTACTGCAGTTTAAACTGAATTTCTCTTCAGTGGAAAAAAGTTCCCAGACAGCGTGGCAGATTAATCACACTGGCAACTGCACCTGGCCAGCCCCTTCCTGTTCAGCATTCAAATGGGTGTAGACTTGGGGACGCCAGCGCCGCCTGTATCACATGGGCTGTTATTCCTCGTAGCTTCCAGCATTTCAGCTTGCAACGCTGCAGCGAGTTGAAATCTGCACAGGGTCAGGGAGCGTTTGGCAGGAGAAAGGGGGTTTGGCTGGCTGTGCATCAGGCATCACGTGAAATCCAGAGCAGTTACCGTATTTCAGTCTTGCTAGAACTGTCCTGGCATTTATTCTCCCAGCCAAAGAGGACTTGGTAGGTGGTGTCCATCTCACAGATGTGTCTGCACTCCAGAAACCAGGCCTGCACGTAGAAGAGAGTGGCTAGATTGTCATGGCGTTGCTTTATTTCAGACTCTGGTTCTCAGGCCTATAGGTGGGGTGGGGCCGGGGCTTCTGGAGGGAGGAACCCTGAGATTCCTCCAGGCCTTCGGGCCTGTCCCTTCCAGGGCCCTCCAGGACAACCACCCTTGCTTTGCCTACATCATCACCTTGTGTGGTCCTCAGTGAGGTCCTGAGGGAGCATCACTGCTCCACTTTGTGGATGAGAAAACTGAGGCGTAGTGGGGTTAGCTAACTTCCTTAGGTCATGGAGTTAGGACACAGTGGAGCCACGATTCACCCCCAGATCAACTGGGCTCCAAACCAGGGTCACAGGCATGGCCCAGATTGTAGGCCAAATTCCCCTCTCTGCGTTTCTGTATGGCCCATGAGCTAAGAATGGTTTTAGCATTTTTAAGTGGTTGAAAAGCTCAAAAGAAGAATATTTTGTGACATATAAAAATTATATGAAATTAAAATGTCAGTGTATGTAAATAAAGGTTTTTTGGAACATAGCTATGACCATTTGTTTGCATATTAGGTAGAATACGTACAATATGCTCTACAGAGGCAGAGGTGGGTAGTCGTGACAGAGACCGTATGGCCTCTAAAGCCTAAAGTATTTACTGTCTGGCCCTTTATAGAGAAAGCTTGCCGACCTCTGTTCTAAACCTCTGTGTGGGCAGCCTCGAAGGCTCCTGCTGAGGAAGGCATGTGTGTGAATGCATGGAGGAGGACCACCCTCACCCGCTAAGTTCTAGGACCATATGGAGAAATATGGGGGCGTGATACTAGCCTCAGGTGGATTCAAAAATAGTTAGGGCAAATAGAGGTCTCTGGGGCATAGGCCGCAGGGCTCCGTCCTCAGCCCTGTCCCAGTCAACACTTGTGTTACGAGCCTGAGCGAGGATACTGGGGCTCCCAGCTGATTGCTCTCGTTCCTTCTGCACAGAGCCCTGGTGTGATTCACCTTCCCCCCATGCCTGGGCTCAGAGGTCTGTGCATCCCTGGCTGCCACTGGACCAGGGATGATCCTGTGTCCAAATATGGTCCAGTCAGGCTGAAAGGAAGGACTTCTATTCCGTGACTGTTGGGGGATAGCTTCCTTTTCTCTCCTCGCCTCCCCGCCCCTCCCTCCCTCCCTTCCTGTGTCTCTATCTCCTTCTCTCTAGACATAACAAGGAAAAACATACCCACAACAGCCACCTGCAGGCTTCCTGAGACAACAAAGGGATGTCCTTAACATTGTGCGGGTACAGTGAGAAGCAGAAAGAAACCCGAGTCCTTACCGTGACAGTAGGAGCTGCTAAATCCCCCCGCTGCCCCACCACGAGACTTCCTGCGGTAGATGATCTTAATTTCCCCTACAGTTAAAGCCATTTTGAGCCAGGCTTTTCTGTTACTGGTAATTGTTGTTCTCCAAAGTCTGGGAGACCAAAGCAGTGACTGTCTGCGCCGGGGGCTCATTCGTGGGCTCACTGCCTGGACAGGGCTCTGGCCGTTTGCCCCCGGCCGAGCTGGGCCTGTCCTCCAGGTTTGGGACAGAAGCTGGGACTGTTTAACACTGTCTCATTTCTGGACTCCGGTTTTGTGAGGTTGATTGGTGAATAGAACTATAGTTATTTTCTGGCTTGTGTAGAAGGAAATCAATTTTGTATTTCTTCAGAACATGTGAGAGTTTCCTACAAAGGGAGATGGAAATGGAGGGAGACCTTTTCCGGCCAGCGCTGAGCTGGGCCCGAGTGGACTGCGAGGGGGCTGGCCCGGCTTTGATGAGCGCCGCATTCTGGGGCTTATAGGTTGTGTCGTCCCCCCAACCCCGCCCCCGTCCCCTCTGCCATTTGTGGAGGGGGTTGGCTGCATGTGGCAGAGGGAGGCACGATGGTGGTACTGGCTAAAGCTGGATCAGATCTGCGGCTTGGGTTGGCAGAACAGCCTCCTTCACAGTTCTGAAAGCTCTTCTCCAGCCTTAACTAGTGTAATGATGGGGACCTCACTTGACCTCTAACTGGCTCACCCTTCCTGACCTTCAGGGAAGCAGGGCAGGATAACAGAGACCACTGGGCTCAAGCCAGGCAGACCTCGGTTCAAATCCCAGCTGTACTGCTTTCACATGTAGGACCTTGGGCAAGTCTGGGGTCAGTGTCCCCCTGTGTAAATGCGGACAATAATGTTTCTATTGCAAGGCTGCAGTGAGGAGTGGGTGAGATAGAGATGCAGCAGTGGTGCCGGTCATCTGAGTGATGTCTTCTGACCCCACCAATTCTCCAACTCCAGCTGGGTGTACAAGTTGATTCTGACAGTATCCACCTGGACTCAGTGTCAGATCCCACAAGTGAAGGGCTCATTCCCACAAGACTGCTGATTCAGATACCAGTCACAAATCCTGGGCCACCCGGACTTCTGACCAACTGGCTATAAGTTGGGGGTTCTCATGACCCCCTCCTCATGTTTAATTATTTGCTAGAATGGCTCATAGAACTCAGGAAAACGCTTTACTTTTGTGTACTGGTCTATTACAAAGGATGTAAGTGAGCAGTCAGTTGAAGAGGTACATGGGGTGAGAGGTCTGGAAGGGTCCCAAGTATACAACCCTGTATGTCCTCATGGAGTCGGGGTGCATCACCCTCCTGGCATGTGGGTGTGTTCTCCAACCTGGAAGCTCCCCAAATCTCACTGTTGAAGACTTTTTATAACCCGGTTTCCAGCTCTCCTACTCTTCCCAGAAGTTGGAGGGTAGGGTTAAAAGTTCTGCTCTCTACTTGTCTATCTGGCAATCAGCCTGAAGTGATCTAAGGGCCCCGCTGAGTCACCTTATTAAACCCTGATATGGTCAGAGGGTTTATTATGAATAACAAAAGACCCTCATATCACTGAGCAAATTGCAGGGGTTTTAGGAGCGCTGTGCCAGGAACCAGGGAAGAGACCATATTTCTTATTAAAGCACATCGTGATCATCCCTGAGGGAGCGTCATTGCTCCCATTTTAGGCATCCAGTGTAACAGGAGCCAGGAACAGGAATGCTCTCCTTCCTGACTTTGATTCAGGCCTCCTGCAGGGTGAAAGCACTGTCCTAAGGCAGGAGCTGCCTGGATGGTCATTAAAAGATTTTTATCTCTGTAAAGGGAGGAACCCCTGATGTAGCATTTGCTGATTAAAGAGAAAGTGGTCATGTGTGGGTCTCCCCAGGCAGACAAGACAGTCAGCCCCAGGCTGGAGCTCAGGGCCAGTGGCAGAGATTAAGCAGTGAATGGTGGGTGGAAATCCACGCAGTGTGAGCAAGCAGTCCTGGTGCAGGGCAGGCTGGCTGAGGAGCAAGCAGAAGCCCCGTCACAGCCGGAGGCCAGCAGCAGAGCTGACCAGCACCAAGATCCCTGAGGATGGCCCCCAGTGTGTGGCCCCAGGGCTCCGGCGGCCCTAGTGCTGGGCCCTCAGAGGACAGTGTCCCCGCAGGTCCATGACCGCCTGGATCGCTATTGCTGCGGCTTCGAGCCCGAGCCCTCGGACCCCTGTGTGGAAGAGAGGCTCCGAGAGAAATGCCGGAACCCGGGGGAGCTGCGGCTGGTCCACATCTTGGTATGTCCCCAGGTCGCCCCAGACTCAGGTCTTCCTGTCTCCATCAGCAGATGCTGTTGGCAAGTGTCAGAGATCACGTGACCTTGGGGTGTCCCAATCCTGTTCTTTTCAGCAGCAGAACCCTTTAAATGTTTTCAGGAAGCCTTAATATATAGAACTGACACAGGTGGAACTTTGAGGATGTGGTTTAGGTAGGTATGGGGTGTGGGCTGGAGCTGTTGTCACTAACTCCTCTGAGCCCTGAAGACTCCGGGGACGCCCTAAGGCTCCAGGAAGCAGAGTGTAATAACTGTGTGTCTAGTAGGATGTCCTCAATGTGCCAGTAAATATGGAAATTGGGGCCTGGAGCGGGGAAGGGGGTTTCCCAAGCTGCATGTCTGGTAGGTGGCAGTGACAGGGCGCTCTCCTGGCCCCTGATGGCTCACAGGCTGGGGCTGTTGGAGGAACACTGTGCTGCCTCCTGTGAAAACTACAGCCCAGGGTGGGAAGCCGTGTGCCGTGGCCATCGATGAGAGGCTGGTGGGGCAGAACAGCCGCTTCTCCTGCACGAGGAGCAAAGTGCCACCCTAGGGAGGGGCTGCTCTGTCTTCCCCCAGTGAGGCTGGTGTCCTCACCGCCTCACCTTGGCCAGCTGCTTTGGACGGTAGCCGTCAGATGCTGCCCTGGGCCGAGCGTCAGGCAGCCCCACCAGCCCGCAGGCCAGGGCTGCCTCATGGTGCTGCTGGGTGGTGGGAACTCTCCCTCCCCTGCCCCATAGCCACCTCTCTCCTTCCCCAGTAAAAGGCAAATATTCCTGGGAGAGGGAGGGCTTTTATATCCATCCTTTCCCCCTGGTGGGCAGCTGTCTCACACATCCTTCCCGATATCAGTTTTTGGAGGGAGGAGTCATTGGGTTTCGAGAAATAGATGATCCCTGGTGTGTGCAGGGGGGTGAGAGGTAGAAGAAGCAGAGAGAGGGGAAGCTGAGGTCCTGAAGACAAAAGTTCATAATTTAAGCCCAGGTTGCTGAAGAGAATTATGGGAAACTACCAGGGAATCTTGGCAAATGTGTAAGAACGGAGTGTGTGCATGGAGGTGGGAGCCGGAAGAGATGGCCTCCTGTTCCCACCATACCAGAGTTTTAAGGTGCTAAAGAATTCCCTGCTGCTGATTTCAGTGTTTGTTTTTTGTTTTTGCGGTACGCGGGCCTCTCACTGCTGTGGCCTCTCCCGTTGCGGAGCACAGGCTCCGGACGTGCAGGCTCAGCGGCCATGGCTCACGGGCCCAGCCGCTCCGTGGCATGTGGGATCTTCCCGGACCGGGACACGAACCCATGTCCCCTGCATCGGCAGGCGGACTCCCGACCACTGCGCCACTAGGGAAGCCCTGATTTCAGTTTTGAAGAGTTTTCAGAGGCCCTAAAACTGTAGAGACAGAGGATGGGCAGTGCTATCTGAGGATGGAGGGTGTCTTGTGTCCTCGGTGATGCTCAGGGGAACGCCTGGGACAGGGGCACAGGGCGCACGTGGGCGGGCATACGTGTGTGAGGGTGTACATGTACGATACATCCCGCAGCCTCAGCCCCTGGGTGGGCTACCTCTGCCTCTTCCCATTTCCACCCGTGCTCCTCAGCCCTTCGGCCACCAGAACAGGAATCAGTCCCTCTGCCTTGCAATTTTGCAGAAGGTGCTGTGGCTTTTGGCTACGGGTCCAGGTTTGAACCAGCCAGCTACTGATTAGCTGTGTGACCTTATGCAAATTACTTCTTTGTGCCTCTGTTTCTGTAAAATGAGGCTAATATCAGTGGCCACCTCCCAGGGTTGCTGCGAGGGTTCACTGAGAGGGTGCCTGGATGTCCTAAGCATGGCAGCGGCATGGAGTGAGCTCACTGCTCAGTGCGAGGGGAGCATCTGGGCGAGTAGCAGGCTGGGTGTTGGGACTGACAGCTCAGGGTCCCCCAAGCTGCTGAGCCCCGACAGAGTCCAGGGGCACCGGCTAGGCTGCTCCCTGACTCTCCTCTGTCTCTGTCCATTTCTTGCCTGAGGTCCGGAGCAGTGATCTCTCTCATCTGGTCTACATCGATAACGCCGGCAACCTTCAGCACCCGGAGCACAAGCTGAATTTCCGGCTGCTGGAGGGCATCGACGGGTGAGGGTCAGAGCGGTTGGGTGGAGGTTCAGGGGCTGAGGCTTGATGGCCCTGCTGTAGACCTTGAACTGTGGCTCCAGAGAAGCCCACAGTCCCTCAGACAAAAGCTGCTGGATGAGCCTCAGAAGGGGGTGAGGAGTCCTGGGAAAGCTGAGGGGATACAGCCAGCAGGCCCTTCAAGTCCATGATGGGCTGCCCCCTCCCCAGTATCCAGAGGGCCTCCTGGCCCTGCACAACATGGGCTGCCCTGCTGGGGAGTGGGCAGGCTGGCCCTTCCCTGGCAGGGAGCTAGCCTGGGAGACACCTTCCCTGCTCACACCTGCAGCGGCTGGGCCTTCCTAGGGCTCCTCCTCACTTCACCCGGGCCAGCAGAGTGGATTCACCCACCCAGGGAGGTGGGACCCATCGAAAGCTCTATCCCCTGCCTGCTGTCACAGCAGAGCGGGTGGAAGGGTTCCTGGATAACTAGTCAGCAGGTGGCCCCGGAGACTTTGCGGGCTGGCTTTGCGGGCCCTCAGCTGTGCAGGTTCTGGCCGACTGGCCTGGCCTTTCACGGCAACTCTCTGAGATGGCTTTTGCTCTTCCTTTCTGTTATGGGACTGGGGGACCTTCCTCCAGGTTTCCTGAGTCTGTCGTGAAGGTTCTCGCATCAGGGTGCCTACAGAATATGCTGCTCAAGTCGCTGCAGACAGACCCGGTGTTCTGGGAAAGCCAAGGCGGGCAGCAGGGCCTACGGCGGGTCCTCCAGACCCTGGAGCGGCGAGGGCAGGTCCTGCTGAGCCACATCCAGACGCACAACCTGACACTCTTCAGGGACGAGGGCCCGTAAGCCCCCCACGGTCTGGGCGGGACTCTCACCTCACTGCAGGGGGAAGAAGCGGGGGCATCTCACGACATGACCTGAGTGGATAAGTGCCCATCCTCACGGCCACATTTTCTTGGGTTTACCCGCCTTGAAGACAAAAGGGAAAAGCCAGAAATCGGGAGGGCACCATGGATTCCACAGGACGTGTCATCTGCTTGGGATGGTGGAGGAGATGGTGAGTGTTGGGTTTTCAGTCTCATCACGTTCTTTTCTGCCTGCTCAGCCCTGGCTATTTACTCCCTTGCACCAATAAATACACAAGAATGTTCTATGAACTGCTCCAGGTACTGTAAAGTCATGCGTTCCACATGCACACGCGGAGCTGCACAACTCTGTGTGTGTGTGTGTGTGTGTGTGTGTGTGTGTGTGCATGTGTAGAGGTGTGCAGGTAGTTGTGCACGTGTGGTATGTGTGTATGCCCACATGCATACATAAAGGATCTTCACAGAGTTATACTTGTGGCCCAGAACTGCTCTGGCTGAAAGTGAACTCAGGTCCAAGAAATGAAACACTAAGCATTTTGTCTTTATAGGCTTTAGATGGTCAATCCTTATTCACTTATGTTTTTGGTTTAAGAATTATGAAAGTAATACATGCCACTAAAAACAGATTCATAAATAACAGAAGCATGTAAGATAAAAAGTGAGAGTTCCAGAAACCCCCTAGAGATGTGATACGTATTTTAGTCACACTCACACTGCATGCAAATGAAAATATAATAAAGTAGGATATCTTTGTTTGTCAACTCACTATTTGTACTTTACTATGTTTACTATGTTCTTTATCCGCCAACTGGGTTGACCCAATTCTTATTCATGACTGCATGGAACTCCCAGGCAGGGACGTGTCACATTTCATTTAGCTGTTCTCATTATGATGAACATTTAGATGGTTCAGACTTTTCACCAATTCTGGACAGTGCTGCCATGAACATCTTTGCATGGTGTGCAAGTATTTCTGCTAGCTAGGTTTCTATGGGTGGGTTTCTGCATCAAAGTATACGGGCATTCTTTATGTTCAGAGAGACTGCCGAATCCCCTCCAAAATGGTGGTGTCAATTTGCCCTCGTACACAGAGGGTAGGGGACTTACTATCTTCCCTACACCTCGTCAACACTTGCTATTCTCAAACTTTTTGTTTTTAATTCATCTGATAGGGAAACCTATTTCTAATTTTCATTTTTTATTGAAGTATAGTTGATTTACAATATCATGTTAATTTCAGGAATACAGCAAAGTGATTCGGTTATATATCTGTAATTTCAAATTATTTTCCATTATAAGTTATACAGGATATTGAATATTGTTCCCTTTGTTATACAGTAAATGCTTGTTGCTTATGAGTTTTATGTATAATAGTTTGTATCTGTTAATCCCAAACTCCTAATTTATCCCTCCCCATCCCTGTTCCTCTTTGGTAACCGTAAGTTTGTTTACTATGTCTGCAAGTCTGTTTCTGTTTTGTATATAGATTCATTTGTATTATTTCTTAGATCCCACATATAAGTGATATATAATATTTGTCTTTCTTTCTCTGGCTTACTTCACTAAGTATAATATTCTCTAAGTCCATCCATGTTGCTGCAAATGGCAATATTTCATTCTTTTAAAAAAATATTTATTTAGGCTGCACCAGGTCTTAGTTATGGCATGTGGACTTCTTAGTTGCAGCATGCAAACTCTTAGCTGTGGCATGAATGTGGGATCTAGTTCCTCAACCAGGGATTGAACCCAGGCCCCCTGCATTGGGAGCATGGAGTCTTACCCACTGGACCACCAGGGAAGTCCCAATATTTCATTCTTTTTTATGGCTGAGTAATATTCCATTGCACATGTATACCACATCTTCTTTTTTTTTTTTTTTTTTTTTTACGGTACGCGGACCTCTCACTGTTGTGGCCTCTCCCCTTGCGGAGCACAGGCTCCGGACTCGCAGGCTCAGTGGCCATGGCTCACGGGCCCAGCTACTCCGCGGCATGTGGGATCTTCCCGGACTGGGTCACAAACCCGCGTCCCCTGCATTGGCAGGCGGACTCTCAACCACTGCGCCACCAGGGAAGCCCAACCACATCTTCTTAAACCAAATCGCCTGTTGATGGGCACTTGGGTTGTTTCCATGTCTTGGCTATTGTAAATCATGCTGCTATGAACATAGCAGTGCATGTATTTTTTTAAGTATAGTTTTGTCTGGATATATGCCCAGGATTAGGATTGCCGGATCATATGGCAACTCTATTTTTAGTTTTTTGAGGAAACTCTGTACCATTCTCCATAGTGGCTGCACCAATTTACATTCCCACCAACAGTGTAGGAGGGTTCCCTTTTCTCCACACCCTCTCCAGCATTTGTTATTGTAGACTTTTTAAGGCTGGCCATTCTGACCAGTATGAGGTGGTACCACACTGTAGTTTTTATTTGCATTTCTCTAATAATTAGTGATGTTGAGCATCTTTCCATGTGCCTGTTGGCCATCTGTATGTCTTCTTTGGAGAAGTGTCTTTTTAGGTCTTCTGCCCATTTTTTGATTGGGTTGTTTTTGTTGCTGTTGTTGTTGAGTTGTATGAGCTATTTGTGTATTTTGGAAATTAAGTCCTTGTTGGTCGCATCATTTGCAAATATTTTCTCCCAGTCTACAGGTTGTCTTTTCATTTTGTTTATGATTTCCTTTGCTGTACAAAAGCTTGTAAGTTTGATTAGTTTCCATTTGTTTAGTTTTGCTTTTATTTCTTTTGGCTTGGGAGACTGACCTAAGAAAATATTGGTACAATTTATGTTAGAGAATATTTTGCCTATGTTCTTTTCTAGGAGTTTTATGGTGTCATGTCTTATATTTAAGCCATTTTGAGTTTATTTTTGTGTATGGAGTGAGGGTGTGTTCCAACTTCGTTGATTTACATGCAGCTGTCCAACTTTCCCAACACTACTTGCTGAAGAGACGGTTTTTTTCTTTTTCCCTTTTTTCCATTGTATATTCTTGCCTACCTCTGGATCTATTTATATTGTCTGATTTTTTTTTCCTTCCACTGTCTCTTGATATCCTGGGAATTTTAGTTGAATGTCAGACACTGTGTATAAAATATTGCAGAAGCTCTAAATGAGCCCTTAGCTTATGGCAGGCAGGTAGAATCAGGATAGATCGTTTTAATCCAATCACAGAATGGATTGGCTATCAGTCTTTATAAGATTTGGTTTACTTTTTTTTTTTAATAACTTTAAAAATAATTTATTTATTTATTTATTTTTGGCTGTGTTGGGTCTTTGTTGCTGCATGCGGGCTTTCTCTAGTTGCTACGAGCAGGGGCTACTCTTCATTGCGTTGGCTTCTCTTGTTGTGGAGCACGGGCTCTAGGCACGCGGGCTTCAGTAGTTGTGTCATGCGGGCTCAGTAGCTGTGGCTCGTGAGGTCTAGAGCGCCGGCTCAGTAGTTGTGGCGCATAGGCTTAGCTGCTCCACGGCATGTGGGTTCTTCCCAGACCAGGGATCGAACATGTGTCCCCTGCATTGGCAGGTGGATTCTTAACCACTGGGCCACCAGGGAAGCCCTGGTTTACTTTTAGTTCACTTTTATTCCTAGGGTTGCAGGCCTTTAGGAGTTCCATTTGAAAGCGTGAGGTGCTTACCAGAGTCTGTCTCTCTCTCTCTCCTTTTTTTTTTTTGGCCACGCGGCTTGCGGGATCTTAGTTCCCCAATCAGGGATTGAACCTGCGCCCCCCGCAGTGGAAGCGTGGAGTTCTAACTACTGGACCGCCAGGGAAGTCCCAGGAGTCTTTCTTGTCAGGACTTCAAAATCGATTTTTATCTCCCATCCTTCTGAGGCCACAAAACTTCTGTTGGCTGCCACTTTCTGCTTTGTTTCTCTCAGCCTGCACTGTTTGTGAACTGGTGAATGCCTTGAGATAATAAACACGTCATTTTTCTGTACCACTGACAGGATCTTAGCCTCTCAAGCCATAGCTGTCTTAAAAGCTTGGAACTCTAATTTTTGCCTCCTCAGACCCTCCTCAGACTGCTGACATCTTTGCTCAGATTCTGTGTCACTTAAAAGCGTTTCTTTGTTGCTTAGTCTCTTTGGCTGTACCATCCAAGAACCCACATAGGCTTTGAGGGGAAAACAGCATAGAATGTCAGACTCACCTTAATTACTTTTCCATATATCTCTAATCTGAGATCCTCAAACTGTGACTGTCTTGGTAACTCTCCAGTCCCCAAACAGATTTGTTTTAGTCCAGCCTTTTTAGCTGTTTTCAATGAGAGGGTTTTTTTTTCCCTGCAACAAATTAATCTGGCGTTATCCTCCTTTTTTTTTGTTACTCTAAATATTGCTTCAGTGAACATCCTTACACATAAACATTTGTCTATATATCTCCTATTTTCTTAGGGTAGACTTGCCATAATGAAAATTTCTGAGTCAAAGGGTACACATTTTTAAGGCTTTTGATATATATTGTCAAGTTACTTTCCAAAAAGATTGTATCTATTTACATTGCCACTGTCTGTGTGTGAAGGTGCTTAACCCAAACGGTTAATTATTACTCTCTTATATAATATGCCAAGCTTCATAATAAGCAAGGATAGCTTCAAATGCCTGGAACCAATTTATTTTTACCCTTAAAATCAGAGTCGATAATCCAACATTTGTTGAAGATGGGAGCAGATGTAGTTATTGAAACATGTAATGAGATAGGCATGTTATATATGTTACAAGAAAATATTTTGTTTTGTAGAGGCAGTAGGTTAGATTGCTGCCCCAATTCTTGACCTATCGCTACCTGTCTTCTTTGTTATGTGCCTTTTCACTTCAAAGCAGTGTGGTGTACATTGCTGATTCTGAGTTCAGCAATGTGACTTTCTTGGGCCAAAAGAATTGTTAGCAGACACGGTACAAGCAGAGGTGTGAGAAAGCACTTATATACAGTGGGGCCTGTGCTCTTGCTGTTTTGCCACATTCTTGAGAAGGTACACGCCTGCCCAAGTCCGTTGCATCCAGGAGGAGGGTGAGACATATGTAAGAGAACTGCCCCAGCTAAGCCGCCGCAGTCAACTCACAGACGCATAAGCAAACTGATGGAGATCAACCAGGGCAGTCCCCTGCCTGACATACACACATGGGAGTTGTAATAAAAAATGACTGTTACTGTGAGCCTCTGAATTTTGGGGTGGCTTGTGGTGCAGCAAT